ACTCTGCTTTGTTTTTCCCTGAAGTTCACAAGTAAATGGAACCAGAGGTGTCAAAAGTATTATTATTTATTACTCAAGTAGAAGTAAATGTCCTATTAAAAACATTTTTGTAGAAGTTAGAGTATTAACTTATGCTTTTTATTCAAGTAAAAATGTAAAAGTACAATTTTTAAAACTACTTAAAGTATAGAAATAAAAGTAATGGAGGTAAAGAAAAGTAAAGAAAGATGTTAAGAAAGATACTTCAAACATACTGGTTAGTGCACTACCCTATTAAAGGAGTTTTTGTAAAATTCTGTATGATCATGTCCTTATACTTAATTTTCTTAGTTTGATAACTTACAGTGTCAGATTTAACTTTGCATCATGTTGAAAAACTATTACTTTTAGTATGTGGGAAACAACAAGTTGGAGCAGTACCGAGTCCAACCCCATAGAAATTAATTGTCTGGATGACACTAATTATTTTGATGGTTTTTATTTTTTTTTAATACTAACAGGCCATAACCAAAATTAGTTTAAATTAAAAAAGGGAAAAGTAAAAAGTTGGCTAAAAGGTAACTACTTCGGTGAAGTATAGATAGCCAAAATCTCTACTTAAGTAACGTAACGAAGAATTTGAACTTGACAGTTACTTGACACGTCTGAATGAAACTGAGCATAACTTCCCACCAGACCTCAGTACTGGTTGCAGTTTATTCTGGGAGATTTCCTGCTTCTCTTCTTCAAAGAAGCAAAGATTTTCTTTTGGCAATCACTGCTGACTCACTTTCCCAACAGCCTGTATAAATACAGTGGCACTTAAGATTTTACACATTGTTGTGGAAAAAGAAAGAAAAATGTTTCAAAAACTTTTCCACCTGTAATTTGCCAAATCTCCTTTACAATTCAGCTGAAAATGAAGTATATCTATAGAACAGTGCTTCCCAAACCTTTCCACCATAAGTGTAGCATTTGTCCTGATTATATCTATGATTTCCTTCAGGTGTCCAGGATGACCCACACGTCAAGCTGATGATGGGTGGGTCCACTCTGAGGAAGATCAAGTCCCGCTCCTGGAAGAAGCAGCGGCATTTTCGCCTTCTGGAGGATGGACTGACGATTTGGTACAAATCCAGATGGGCAGGAAAGGGCCACTCAACCTGTAAGTGCACACCCTCATAGCATGAATTGCCTCTTTCATATGAGTTGACAGGTGATAGAGGAAATTACAGGTTATCGTATTCAGTGAGAGAATGAAACAACTGGAAATGAAGGAGAAAGCCTTAGATGCTCCTAAAGGGTTAAAGGAGTCGAACAAAAAGAAAAAGCTGCTCTCCAGAACAGAACCAAGTCAGAGACTTAAAGATATTTATTAATGACCTCCTTTGGTTGTAGCTTTGTTATTCCCATCTTTTAAAAAACATCTCTAATCTGGAGCACGACATTCTTGAAATCTTTTAAATTGGTCTTAAGATTACTCTAAATAGTTTTTCAAAGTTTTCTTTTTAAATTTTTCCAATAATAGCATCTGATTATTTTGGGTGAATTGTTTCTTGCTTTGTTTATGTTCAATTTCTAATCCTTTTTACAAACTTAAAAAGTGCTCGGAAAGTTGAGACCTCGGCATAGTAGCTCACTTTCCCCGACATATTATGTGTCCACCAAATGTATTCACAAAAAACATTTCAAAATGCTGCTGTATCCCGATCCAGTGATCGGGATCATCACCAAATAATAATTGTAATAATTTATTCCCAGTAGCAATACGCACCTTCTCTGAACATTTCAACAAAATCCATCCAGAACCTTTTTAGTTATCTAGAAAACAGACCAACAAACAAACGAACCAACGTCAATGAAAACATGACCTCTTTGAGGGCGGTAGTAATCGAAACATAACAAGTTTGAATGTTTTACGGTCAAAGGGACCCTAATATAATATGAGAAAAGCTCAGATCCTGGACAAGCCCCCAAACATGTCACTTTCTTTGAAATATGTCAATATGAATCATTATCAGTCAAATATAAGTTAAAGGAAAATTTTATTTACAAAATCAAATCTTTTATTATATTTTATATATTTTATTTTATATATTTTATTATTTTATATATTCTCAGAAGATCAATCAATCAGCTAGTCTCTCATGTTTTCATTTCGAGATAACGGTATCTGCCAGCATGGAAAATAATTTTTGTCCTTCCTAACATTTCAGTTAATAGAAATTGCTTTTACATACGTTGTATTGCTGAACTGAAAAAAAAATAAAACTGTGCTTTTTTTGGAAAGCACGCTATATTTGAATAAAACCTTCTCAAAAACCCAGAGAACTCTAGTATTGATCAAGAATCATCTTTAAAAAATGAGAGAATGTCTGACTTGTTTGAAGGACAGAAAGAAATTAGACCTCAGTTAATATAGTTGCAAATGATTTTAAGGAGAAGTGTAAACTGACCTAAGATCACAAACTGTGTGGAAATCAATGCATTTCTTTCTAGCTTTTAGATTTTAAAGTCCCATAAAAAAAAAAGAACAGTTTTTACATCTTGGGCTCTGATGGCAACCATTGTACAAACTGATAGACACAGATCTAAAAACGGGATGAAGAGACTCAGGTATCAGATCTAATTAATTAGAAGGATTATTGAATAGGAGGCTTGAGTATTCAGACAATTTGGTGCCAGACTGCAGCTCAATGTCATTCCGCAAAATTAAAGAAAGTTGAAATACTGATATATTATACAAAGATGAAGGAAGGACCATTCAGGAGAAACAAGTCAAGGAGAAAATGTGATAACAGTGATGCTTTGTCTTATTGATCAAAGAAATCACTGGATTGCAATAAATCGTGAAACCCACCACAGTGACTTTTGTCTGTAATAATTGTACACTTGTGTCTCAGTCTCAGTGATGGACCTGGAAGCAGTGCGTGAGGGCCATCAGTCTGAGGTCATGCTGAGCATCGCTGAAGAATTTCCCTCTGAGCTCTGCTTCACTTTGGTGTTTCATGGACGCCAAGGAAACCTAGACCTCGTGGCAGACTCTCCAGAGGAGGCCCAAGCTTGGATCCAGGGAGTCCGCAAGCTGATTCACAAAGCCCAAACCATGGATGAACAGGAGAGGCAAGACCAGTATCCATTTAACTCCGGTGTTTTAGGAATGCTGTTAGTAAAGGATTCTACCTACATTAACTAGATCAGACATGTGATAATTAAATGTGAGCTTTTGCATTGGTTAAGGTTTTCCTCAGCATCTTCTCAGATGGGTGCGAGACTGGTTTCAGAAAGCCGATAAAAACAAGGATGGGAAGATGAACTTCAAAGAAGTGAAGACGCTGCTGAAGATGATGAATGTGGAAATGAATGAAGATCATGCTCTGCATCTGTTTACAGTAAGAGTCTTGTCTAAAAAGGGTTTCTAGAGATAAAGAACCAGTAATGTCTTTTCTCCATCCTCAAGAAGTGCTAAAGCTTTTGTCAAACTTTGTTTTGCTTGCTGAATGCTGCAGTTTTTACACAGATAAAGCTGCATTATATTCGCCAATTGTTTATTTTCAACTTTACAGAATTACTTATGGTCTTTTAAGGAATAAGTGGGAAAGCTTAGGCCTTTTGAATGCCTTTTAAAATTCTTGTTTTTGGGTTTGTGGGTTGCATTTGTGTTTTTCACTGAGCCACCTAACTATTTAAAACCAGTAGAGGTTAAAAGTTGAAAACATTACTTAAGCAAATTGAAAAAGGGTTCAGGAGAACAAATGACACAGAACGAAAGCAGAAAGTCATCTGACTATAACAGCTTCCTGAAACTAAATGTGTCTCATTGTCTCTGGCTTTTTTTTTTGTCTTAATAGTTGTGCCTTTATCTCCATAAAATTTCTAATCATAAACTGTCCTAATCTATGAGACTTCAGCTCTGTGTCTCACAGTGTTTACTTTTGCTCTGTTTTGTATTTTTACATACATTTTCCTGTTTTTTGTTGTAAATTAGCTTTTTCTTTACACACTTTCAGAATAATCTGATGTCCTCTTTTCTGTCATCGAGTTTGAAACAAAACCACAACATTTAAAAAGTTCAAAAGTGGAGATGAGAAAAAGAGGTGTCATATCCAGCAAAAACCTGACATGCATTTTCTGTCAATTTATTCAGATTCTTATATTAAGCAAACAACAATTTACCTAAACTGGATAATATTTTTTTTTTTGTAATTGCTTACCAAGTTGTGTGTCAGCAAATCTCTTGTAAATCCAAGTTTTCCCAAGGTACAGTATTATCCTCTGCTGTATCTTGTAAAATTATTTAGTGGTTCAAAGGTAAACTGTCTTTGTTTTGGTTAGATAAATGACCTAATGGCAGAAATAGACTAGCAACAGAGTTCTTTTAACGATAAAATAGAAAATATAAAGATGATGTAGCACAAGGAGAGCAGAGCATTGGGCACATACAGATGAAAAGGTAGAATAAGTGAAAAATCCAGAAATGAAAGGTCACAACCAGAATGCCTATACACAGAGGGAGACATGCAGAATGACACTGAATGCAGGTGGGAAAATCAAGGCCTTATGTGGAACAGTTGATAGAGGAGGAACCCAGGGAGACTAAAGGAGGAAGACTCATTAATGTGAGAGAAGCTTTACTTAGTAGGAAGAATTCATATAAATCACAGAAAAATAACTCCAAATATACAAAAAAAAAGAAAAATAATCTAAGAAATGAAACACAACAATGTTAACTTATACTTTGAGGATATTAAGGAAAACAAAATAAAGCAGAAATGACTTGGATTTCGCTTATAAGCAGACATTTCTGTATATCCATCTTGTTAAAGCCAATTTCTTTTCTTCCAGATGGCTGACAAATGGGAAAGCGGTTCCCTAGAAATCGAGCAGTTTGTCCACTTCTATAAGATGCTGACTCAGAGAGATGAGGTGTGGAAGGTGTTCCAGGACTATTCTGGAGATGGAGAGAAGTTAACATTGGAGGAACTGGAAAACTTTCTGAGGGTTGAACAGGGCGAAGGTGACCAGAGTTCCAGGCATGCCCAGGAGCTGATCCAGGGTTACGAAGCCTCTGAGACGGGTACTTTCATTTCACATGGTGTCATTTACAGCTTCTGCATGAGCATCCCCAGCTGTATATGAGTGAAAAGCTCCAGATCTGCCCATGAGTTGTTTTATGCAGTAAGAGGAACATGGTTGAGTTTGTTTAACCTGTAAACTGACTGAGTTTACTGTAAATAAAAGGAGTAGAAAAGGTTTGGTTGGACCTACCCTCATAAGGGAGTGAAAAAGATCATATTTCTTTTATTAAGATATAAATATTATTAGTTAAACTATTACATTTCCTCATTAGAAATTGTTAATTTATATTTGGACTACCTGGAAAACACCTATCTGAAAACTGATGGTTATTAAGCATGGATTGGGTTGAGTTTTCTTAAATTTGGGTCAGAATTTGTTCAAAACACAAAAACACCTTTGATAGATTGTTTGGAAGCTGCTATAAAAATCCTCAAACTGAAAGCATTCATATTTTGTGAAAACTAAATTCAAGTCAGATCTATTTTGGGGCCAAAGAGCCTAAGAAAATTTAGAAAAACAAAACTCAGAAATTCAAATCTGACTTTGTTTCCATGCCAACACAAATGCAATCCTTTCTATGTTCTTTCAATATAATAAAATATAGTTGTTCATTTTTTTTTCCAAGTCCAAGTTTAACACATTTTTTTCCTTGTGTAACCGGACTTCAGAAAACCATATTACTAGAAACTGCTAGTGGTACTTATAAGGTAACAGTTTCTCTGCTATTCTGCATTGGGTTTTGCGCTTGTTCACAAAAAAAAAAAAAAAAAAAAAAAAAAAAAAAATATTATATATTTTTTATATATATTTTTTTTTTTTTTACATTTAGACACTCTTCCTCCAAAGAAATCAAATGTAGCAAAGATATGGGTTACTGCAGAAAAATATAGAATGAGTGAATTTATAAAAAGACAGATTTTATCATCTACAGTTTACAATAATGCACTCAGACTAGAAGTAACATTTCCTCCACTTTGCGATTTGATATTGACTTTTAAGTGCTTCCTCTATATCGCACAAAATAAAGAAAGTGGAAGGGAGTTTGTTTCTCAGATGAAATATCAAATTTGCTAACACCTTCCAGGGTCACAGTTAGAGTACCCTCATCCCAGGATTGTTTGATTCGCTTTCAGTTCTGTTTGTTTGGGCAGATTTAAAGCTCTTTTAAACACAAGTCTTCTTTCACTTTCGACTTCACCCTGATGCGGTTTTTTTCACACTGGGAAATGCAAATGGTTTATCCAGCAGAACAATGAGAGGACTTCAACCAAACACACTAAATCTTAACACTGCCTCGCCTGCTACAGATTTTTAAAGAAAAAGCTTTAAGGTTTGAAAGTTAAAACATAAAACATCAGTTAGGTTTAAGTTTGATGTTCTGTACAAACAATGATCTCTGTGTTCTTCTACTTTGGGCCTTTTTTCCCTTCCAAGTCCTTTGTTGTTTTAGGCCACACTACCTCAAACAAGCAGCTGCAGTAATTGATGCTCAGTAGGTTCAGGCAGATTTCAGTGAGAAAGTGAACCAAATCAAATTAAAGCATAACAGTGCTTGGTATTTCCTACCAAAATAAAACAGGTTATCTGTTATAGCCGGGTGTAAAAGGCCTATTATGACAAATAAAGAATGATTTATTATCCATTAGAGCCCCGTATCTTATCCCTTTAGATCTGTTTTCCTCCTTGTGAGCATCAATTTAAGCTATCTGATCTTTTGTTCTTTCCATATTTCATGGATATAATTGCTGTGTAAACTGGATTTGTATCTCCATCTCTGTGCAGCCATGAATCAGAGCTCCATGTCCCTGGAAGGCTTTCAGATGTACCTGTGTTCCCAGGAGGGCTCCATATTTAAGCCAGAGCTCCTGGAACTTCACCAGGACATGAGCCAACCAATCAGCCACTACTTTATCTCCTCCTCACACAACACCTACCTCCTGGAGGACCAGCTGAGAGGGCAAAGCAGCCTGGAGGCATACATCCAGTGAGGACTGCATGAACTCACCACTAAAACATGAGAATTAGACATCAAGGCACAAAGGAAAATATCAAATTGTCTTGTTGAATGTCAGGAAATGGGAGTTTGACTCCTTCATCAAACGGAATAAAGACACAGAGTTGCTTTTAATGTCTCTGCTTCTGTAGAGCCCTGAAGAGAGGCTGTCGCTGTGTTGAGGTTGACTGCTGGGACGGCAGTGACGGGGAACCCATCGTCTATCATGGCCACACTCTAACTTCAAAAATCCTCTTCAAGGACATTATTTCAACGCTTAAAGACTACGCCTTCAAGGTGAGGAGGAAATGTTAGGATGATAGAATGAACAGGGGGGTGTGATTGCAAACATAACATGATCGCTCAGCTTGTAGGATCACCTTACGAACCAGAGACTCTGCAGTGGTTTTCTGTCTGACTTTATCAGTCTCTTACAGCGGGACTGAAGTCTTTTCTCTACTTCATAACAGAACAACAGGCAAAATATGGCCTTTTTTGACCTGCTGTATCTTAGCCAATATAAATTCCACTGTTGGGGGTAGAATAGATTGAATACTTTGGAAAGTCTCTTCCCTTGGAATCTGCTGGCAGTTTATTTGCAATCTCTAAGAAAGGCTTCTTTTTTTGTCATCAAATGCACAACGTTCACTCGATCAAAATCAGTCATTTTTGTCTGCTGCGAAAGGAGAGCTGCTACGCTCTGTGTTTCACCCTGAACCTGCACCTGTGCCATCTATCTTCTCTTTTGGCGCTAAGCTCTAGTAGTTCTGTAAAATAAAAATTGTTTTCCCCTTTACACTAACTAGCAGGCTCTATACTTTAAAATCCCTTTGATAAACGCATTGCTTCTTACCTGGCTCTGAATGGGCATCATTATTCTACAATTCTGTTCCTGCACCTGTTCCTGACTCATCCTCAGTTTATTTTTTATATTTAGTCTATCAAGCCTTTGATGTCATCTTCCCTTGTCCCTTTTTTTTTCTGTGCACCGGACTTCTGAAAATCCGAAATTCTTAGATTGCAGCGAAACGAACTTTAAAAGTTGCAGCCCGCGATTGTTGTTCATTCTATGTAGAGTCGGGTGGATTCTAATGCCCCCCTTATTAAATACACTTAGTTACTCTGATATTAAACATTTATATCACAAATATTTTCTGAAAAATTACATCTGCCTGTATTTTTTATGGTCAGAGTGTCAATTTTGGGCCCCCCTCTGTCCTGGGCCTGGGACAATTGACCCCTTTGCCCCCCCCCCCTGTCGGTGGGCATGGTTAGGCATAGTAGAGTCAGCTAACAGCTATGTGTAGAGACAGAGCTGACCACTAAAGTCAGGGCCAAGTGTATCAAGAGAAAAACAGCAGCAGCAGCAGGGAGGCTCATATTGGAGAAATAGGATCTCTCTTTTATATTTTTATGAGAACTCTTGCTGCAATGTTTAGTTTAGGATCATTGTTCTGTTGATGACCCAGTTTGGACTGAGGCTCAGCTGTTGAAGTGACTCTTAACATTTTGGTATACGGAGGAGTTTATGGTTCATTTAAAGACTGCAAAGAGACCAGGTCCAACAAAATAAGCCTGAATTATAATCTGTTCACCTTGACAACTGGTATAAGGTGTTTATTTGAAGTTCATCTAAAGCTACATTTTATCATTTTATCACCTGTTAAGAACCAAATGACTTTACTATTAAAACACGTGTAACATCTGGAACTGCATTGTTCTTAAACATAAATTGCTGTCTTTTAAGTAATGCCTATCCGTCCACTTATGTTGGCCTGAAACAGAAGACACATTCACCAGAAACGATCCCCCCTAAGTGTTATTGCAGGAAATTTCACTAATGAAGTTGCACAAACCTCTAATTGACAGACTGAACCAGTGTCTCTGATAATTATCTAACCATTACCCCATGTGAAAACAATCCATTCCTCAAACCGCAATGTTTGTCCTCGGTGGACTGAGCGTGTTGATAAAAAGGCTTAATCTTAATGCAGTTTAAAATCTCTGTTACCTCAGGAGTTGAGTGGACCACTTGTTCAGACTGTCTTTGTTAGTTTGATGTTTTTATTAATTTAGCATCTAGTTGTGCTGCACGGTGGTGAAGTCTGTAGCACTGTTGCTTTGCAGCAAGAAGGTTCCTTTCTGCATGGGGTTTGCATGTTCTCCCCGCATATGGATGGGTACTCTGGCTCCTTCCCACAGTCCAAAAACATGACTGTTAGGTCAGTTTAAATTGTCCTTATGTGTGTGTGCATGGTTGTGTCTCTTTCTGAGTTTCTATGTTGCCCTGCGATAGACTGGCAACCTGTCAAGGGTGTACCCGCCTCTAGCCTAGACTGCTGGACATAGGCACCGGCCTGACAGTGACCCTGACAGGACAAGTGGGAGAAGATGGATAGATGGATATTATCCATTTATCTATTTTTATAGAGACAGTACAATTAAACATTGTTCTCTTTAGGCAACTGTTGAAACAAAAAAAAAAACTTATAGACAAAGGGTAATTAGGTTTTGGCAAAGCTGATTTGTTAAGCTGAGTATAAAGAAATGAATATTATAGCTGTTATTCTAAGCTAAGTACAGGTTTTGTCTTATCCCCCCAACAGGTGTCCGACTATCCTGTCATTGTGTCTCTTGAGAACCACTGTGGGGTGGAGCAGCAGACCATCATGGCCAAACATCTTCGCCAAATTTTGGGCGAGATGCTATTGACGGCCCCGCTGGACGGACAGACACCTCAGCTGCTTCCCTCGCCTCAGGTTTCACTTTCTCTTCAACATTGTCTGATTTATCCTAGAGACAGTTAAAACCAATGATATATTGCACTATGTTTTTCAGTTTAATGATTCCCATTGGTTACATCTCAACACATAAAAGATCTTTGGCATTAAATGTTTCTGGAGCTTGTCCCATTCTTCCTTTAAAGGCATCTTAAATCTATGCAAATTCATACGCGTCATCTCAAGGCACTTTACAAAACATTCCCAGTGGGTTATAGTTATAATTGCTGCCAAGTTAAGTTTATTTTTCAAATCGCATAAGAAGTTTTCTATCGAAGTAAAATCCAGCAATTTGCATCGAGTGTTGACTCATAAGGCACTAAATTAGTGACAGTCGACAGTTGCTTGAAAACTTAAAAGATTTTGTTGTTTTTTTGTATTGCTTGCAATGAAATATACATAGCTTTAAAATGATTGATTGTACTCATGGGGAAAACTTAGTCTTATTGGCTGATTGCTTGCAAGTCTTGTTCGAACTTATGGGATCCTAAATTAACAGTTAGGGTGACGAGTTTTGCAACTCGTCACCCTAGCTGTCTCCCAAATTATTTTGGTTAGCTAAATAAAAAGGATTACGTTTTAAAGTCTTTCCCTTTTCTGTATTTCATAAGCTTCACCTCAAATGTTGCATTTGTTTATGGTTTTCATTCAAGAAGACAAAAGTTGTTCCCAGATACTAAGCTGAGGAATCTCACGAAAACTTTGTTCCAAAATAAGTGATCTAAAGAATGTACATCAGACTTCATCTTGTTTTCCATTTAGCACAGATGTTAAAAGCATGACTATTTATACCTAATGACGCTCTCTCTTCATTGAAGCTCTTAAAACAATCAATGCAAAGTTGAAGTAATGGTGGATGAACGCTATAAGAGAATCCACTGAGGAATTAGTCGAAAAAGACAGTGCTGCAGTGCTATTCAGTTACGAAACACTTAAGTGCAAAGAAACAAAACATCTTCACTCCGACTCTAGATCCTGCAGACAGAACCTGGTTTTCCTCATTGTTCACCACAGGAACTGAAGGGGAAGATTTTGCTGAAAGCCAAGAAAATTGGCGGGCTAGAACCATGCCTGGATGAAACTCTGACTGATGAGGTTAGCGATGAAGACGAAGCCGCCAATGGTGACACAGAAAGCCCCTGCACAGAAGATCCACCAGCAGAGACGACGAACAAGGTGATTTCTAATGCATCGAGTTTTTTTTCGCTTTTTTTTTTTTTACATGAACTGGTTATTCTCCAATTCTGGCTTCTGTTGTTCTCTGAAGTCTGATATCCCAATCTTCCCATCAGATATATATCAATTATTCAACTGTTTATTAATACTTCTAACTGTTGGTATCTCACTGGAATTTCTACACACCGGTTGCTGTACAAATACATTTATATCTTACATATTACGACAGTGTTTGAATGTATTAACTTAAAAGGAATTAAACATTTTTGTTTTAGTTAGTGCCATATAAGTTAGCTAGTACCAGAACATGTTTAACTACCAGGCAACATTTCTCCCAGAGTTCCAGTTTCTGGTTGGCTTCATAGCTTAGAAAGTTAGTAATATGCTGATCAAGATTCTCAGTCGTAGGACTCAGTCATAGTCAAAAAAGTTAAAAACAACCCACTAAACGTTGTTTCCAAGTTTGAAGACGTTTCACTTCACTTCTTTTTTTTATTTTTATGAAAAAGCTTCCTGGATGGGAAGCAAAACATCTTCAAACTTGGAAACAAAGTCCAGTGGATTGTTCATTAACTTTTTTGGAAAGTTAGTATTGCTGTACAAAATATACATGTTTTTATTTATCCATAAAATCTTTTACCAAACATTTTTAACCTGTGAAGAGGAGCCTCTTTTGAGGCCCTCCTAGTAAAAAAACTACCGTAATATTACAATAATATTACTATAATAGAATGTTCTTGTCCTTGTTCTTGTCTAACTCGGGTTCAGTCGTAAATTCAGAATCTGGCTGGCTGGGTCCTCTGACCTTTTGCCATCAGTTTATTACTCATCAATCCAGTGGCTCAGGTCAAGGTTATTGCAGTAAAAGGTGTTTCAGTTGAAAAACCCCACTCTGTTTGCCCCTAACCGTTTTGCCTAGTTAGTGTTAGCCTAGATTAGTGTGTGTTGGGGTCCTTGATAAAAGCTTTAAATACAAATATAAAATATGGTTTAACATCAACAGAGGCAGATTAAAGACACCCTCCTTTGCAATATTGCTCTTTTCATAAACCATAGATGGCTTAAAGCTACCTTGACCCCACCTTTAAGAGTTTTACATTTTTTTACTCTTATTTCTTTGTTTATTATATTTTTTCTTGTGCTTTGTTTTAAGCTGCATAAAGGTGTAACCCAGGAAAGTCAGAACTAAAAATATACAGTTGAAGCTAAATCCCATAATTTCTTTCTTTAAACTACTGAAGCAAATTTGAAAGAAAACAGCAATTATTGTCTGAGATTTAAATTCTGCTTGAAACATAGCTTCTGATTATTGGTTTCAGGTGTCTTACCTCTTGTGGGGAACGTTTGTCAGGTTTGCTCCAAAACAATGTTGGTTTTACTTTTAATGGCTACCTTCATGACTGAATCATATGATGAGTCAACTGTTCCCAGAACTCTGTTTGTTGTTGTTTTTATGCAACTCTTAACACTGTTTAGCTGATAACGTGTAGGATGTTGTAGCCAAACATAAACTGAATCATCTACCAATCTGAGACTGCGCTGCATTTTAACCAAATTACTACCTAGAGCTACCTTCACATCTGGTTTGTAATGGCTGAGCCTTACTGAGCTCAGTCCATAAATAATCAGACATTTAGGAATAAAAGAAAACATTTAGTTTGATAAGTATTTTATATTTTGTACTCTTCCTTTTGCAGAAGTCTAAATTGTCCAGAGAATTGTCCGACCTGGTGGTTTACTGCAAGAGTGTCCACTTCCATGGCTTTGAGCATGCTCAATCTCAGGCCAAGTGTTATGAGGTGTCTTCATTCTCTGAATCCAAAGCAAAGAAGCTTGCTAAAGAAGCAGGTATATTTTATTAATTACAAATAAATGAATTTGTAGCTGTTTTGACCTGCAATACTAGAGTATTACATTTAAATATAATATTGTGCAACTTTAGCCGAGTGTAGTAGGTTGGAGAGCTTATAGTTAAAGATACAGAAAAGCAGCATGTGTTTTTCTCTGCAGGGACACAGTTCATTCAGTACAACACTCGGCAGCTGAGCAGAACCTACCCCAGTGGACTGAGGACAGATTCCTCCAACTACAATCCACAGGACATGTGGAACGTGGGGTGCCAGATAGGTAGGAAGTAAATACTGCCATCTGCTGGTTAAAACCGCTCAAAAAGTATTACCTCATGACACTTCCTTCACATTCTGGACCAGGCATCCTCAAAGTCGGTCCTCGATGGCCACTGTCCTGCAGGTTTAAGAGGTTTCCCTGCTCCAGAAGAGCTGATTTGCATTGATAGTTGATTAACAGGCTTTTGCTGAACTGTAATCATCAGAGTCAGCTGTGCTAAAGAAGAGAAACCTCTAAAACCTGAAGGACAGCGGCCCTCAAGGACCAACTTTCAGGATGCATGTATCTGGATGGTTTCTCTGCAAAGTTTACTTCACTTTTAGTCAGCTGTTATTGTTTCTTGCTTTTCCCACTAGGCCTCTAACAGAGTAGGTATAGAAGTGATGAAGAGGGATATAAATATAACTCCCATCATATCCAGGTTCTGATCTGATGTGGCAGTTCACAATCGCAAACAAAGTTTGATGGTTTTTATAGAGGAAGGACGTTGGGAGTGGATAATCTCAATCAATAAGTCATTTAGGTATTAATGCACCACTGCAGGACTTAAATGACAGTGGAAAATCTATTCCATTAACTCATTTCAATGGGTGATAAAAGAAACACTGATTGAAAATAAATTATTAATTTCATTCTTGGAAATGAGGCTATTTATTTGCATAAAGTAAACATGCCTGACTTTGACTTTAGGTTTTTTATTGAGCTAAATGTTTAAATCAATGTAGAAACTACATCTGCTCAAATCAACATTATTGGAAAGTTTTTTAGTTGCAAACATTTCTTTGTGCGCAATTGGAGGATCGTAAGCAAGGAAACCTAAAACCTGCAGATAGCTTTGATATTTTCCCTTTGTGAGTCCATCTGCTGATTGGCTGCAGCTTGTTTTTAAATTAGCACAGAACTGCTAGACAAACTGTTAATTTAGGATCCCATAAGTTCGAACAAGTGCAAAACAAGTTAGGCAAGAAAAAAAAAAACAGTCTATTTAGAACTTCATTGAATTTCAAATTGTAATCTTCTGTATTATCTGACTAGTTAATGTACTTTAAATCGATTGCTCTCACAGCCATTTCCTCATTTTTTAAAGCAGTAAAAGAGCTTTTAAAGATGGATGCATCGGTGGACTCTGCTCTTAGTTTTTATCTGCAAATTTGACATATCTATTTTGATTTCTGGAAGAGAACTGTACAATTAGGCATACAATAAAGAAAAAAATACACAAGAAAATCAAAGTTAATCACATTATTTTCCACTATGTCTCCCAAAGTGGCTCTAAACTTCCAAACAGCCGGTCTGGAGATGGATCTGAATGATGGTCTCTTCAGGCAGAACGGCTGCTGCGGTTACGTCCTCAAGCCCAGCTTTATGAGAGACAGCAAAAGTCAGTTCAGTCCGGAAAGACCAGAAGACCGACAGGGTTACAAACCGCTTCGCTTGTCAATACAGGTTGAAAGCCCTAATGGATTCTGTGTAGATTAGAAGAATAATGTCAGGATGTCGGTTTTTCATCTGGACGTCTGTGTTATCAGGTGATCAGTGCTCAGCAGCTACCAAAGGTGAACCAGAAAGAGGGATCGATTGTAGACCCACTAGTCAGAGTGGAGGTCTACGGTGTCCCTCAGGACCAGGCCAAGGAGGAGACCAGCCACATTAACAATAATGGTACAACAATCCTTTAAATATATAAAATTCACAAAAAATTTATAATAAGATGTTAACCTCTCTGCTGCCCTTTGACCTGCAGGTTTTAACCCGGTCTGGAATGAAACTCTGAATTTTGTCATCCACACCCCTGAGCTGGCGCTGGTCCGCTTCGTGGTGGAGGACTACGACAAAGCGTCCAGGAACGACTTCATCGGACAGTTCACTCTTCCATTTACGTGCATCCAGCCAGGTGAGCGGCACACAAAGTGACACCTCTGTGTCTTCAGAAGGTGAAGTCTGAATGAGATGTCATTCAAAGCCAACTGTTCTGCTTCCTTCCAGGGTACCGCCACATACACCTGCTATCTAAAGACGGAACCTCCATCCCTCCTTCTTCTGTTTTTGTTAACATTAGCATTTCAGAGCTCACATGAAGAAGTCAACAAGTTCAGTGTCCCCTCCAAACTTTAGTCAGTATTAACCTGTTTAAATGTCTTACATGAAAACTTTTAACTAAATTTACTGAAAGTGTTTTAGAATCTACTGATCTACAGTTTCAGTAACAAGACATAACTTATATATTTATATATCTGGATATTGTCTATAAAATAATCACCAGGCCTGTAACCGGTCATAAACACAAACTGAGACAGACCGAGGACTGGTGACGTGTTAAACAGTGTTATTTCATATAAAAAGAGGGAACAATATGTTTGTTAGTAGCCAAGTATCCTCAGTGATCCAGTAGCTTTTAAATTTCTCAGCAGCGGTTTCCTGTTTGACCAGTCATCTCATGGCTGAGAAAAGGCTGGATTAAACTGGCTGCCTACAACTTTTCAATCTCCGATCAGATTTTTTTTCCATTTCTCACTTACTTAGGAAGACTCCGGCCAGGCAGGGTGAGCAGATCTGTGCAATTTCTTTTTTAATTCTGTCTCTGTGCCACGCAAATAAAACCAATTTCCCACATTTGACTTGGACAGATTATGAAAAGTTAATAAAAATAGGCCTAAATAAATTTAAAAAACACAGGAGCAGCTATAAGGCAAAGCCGCACTTAATGAGTCTGCGCAGCATCTCAAACCAGAACATTTAGAATGTTTATGTGCCTATATTAAAATTATAATGAGAACTACATCTAAACAAAAGAACAACACCAAAATAAACCCTGTGGGGTGGTTAATATACTGGCCGAAGCAGTAAGAGGTGATTCTAAGAGCGAGATCTGGGAAGTTTATTCAAGTTTTTATTTATTTTTTCATAAAGAGGGTAGAGTTTGCTTACCTGCTCTGTCTCCCACTCTTTATTTAGATTTTTGTGAGTATTTTATTCAATTTTTTATGTTTTATCGATCATTTTTGCAGAAGTCTTAACCACTTGCTATGTCCTCCAAAACAGACTGTTTCCTTACGAAATTGACATTATTGATATTATTTTGTATTTTGTGTTTTACTTTGTAACTCAATTCTATTCTGTTTATTTATATAGTACCAATTCACAACATGTAATTTCAAGGCACTTTACAGAGACAAGTCAACCAGATCATACAGTCAAATTGATTCAAAGTTTTCTACCTAAGCAAAACCAGTTGATTGCATCGACTCATTGACAGAAGCAGGCATAAAGAAAGAAGCAGTCCCTCTTCCTATCAGACCCAGTGCCAATCTATATACCTGGAGTCTATCTCAATCAGAGCTTTGCAAGCCCCCTTGCAGAAAATCATATTGGGTGTGAGCATCCTCATTGACTCTTAATGAGTGATAAACGCCACCACCACTCTGAACACACCGAATCTGATTTTGCGTCCAATCTGACAGAAAATCGTATCAGATGCAAAATCGGATTTGGTGTGTTTAGGGCTAAAGGGTTTGTGTCTCCTCCTCAAAACAGGCTTTTAGATCAATGAAGATTGCAGGTAATTTTTTTTTTTTTTTATGCACGACCCCTCTAACATCCCAAAACAGCATCTTAGGTCATTCAAACACTTTTTCAGCCATTCTGCTGTTGGTTAGCTGTTGTGTTTGGGATCATGTTCCTCTTGATGACCCAGATTGGACCAAAACAATGTTGTTCAACAGATGGCTTCTAGAGTACCGTACTTTGGTAGAGGAGAATCATGGTCCACTCTGAGACGGCAAGGTGTCCGGGGCCTGTGGCTGTAAAACAAGCCAAAATCGTCATCTGTCTAAAAGACATTGTCCCAGAAGTCTGCTATGTTTCTTTTGTCAATGGATTACACTTTTTCTTTCTTTCAAACAGCTATTTCAGTGTTTTTCTAACTCCATCCATCATCTCCCGCTTACTTTGTCAGGGTCACCTATATCTAGCAGAATAGGGCAAGAGGCGGGGTGCAGGGCAAGTCACCATTAAAAAGCAGGGCAACACTGAAACACACAACCATGAACACACTAACACCTAGGGACAATTTAGTGATGCCAATTTACCTGAGAGTCTTAGATTTTTGGACTATGGGAGGAAGCCAGAGTTATTATTAGAACTTTCAAACTCCATGCAGAAAGACCAAGGGCCAGGAATTGAACCAAGGACTGTCTTGCTGTAAGCAACAATGCTACAAACTGTGCCACTATACATATTGTTTTTCTCATCGTCACATCATAACCTTTAAACTGCTAATTGAGGTTTGTAGAGTTCCTGGGTATTGGTCATTGCCAATGCTCTGACCTTGAACAGAATCCGTCCACTCCCAGGACAATTAGTTGCTGTCTGAGATGTTTTCCTCTTGGAAACCCTCTCTCTTAGGATAGCTTGAAGATGACTTTGTCATCGTTTTCAGATTGATTTGATCACTGCGGATGTCTTTCCACCAAAGCATTGTGTTAACAAACCCAATCTGTTATTAATGTGCTCACACTAAGGAGGAACTTATTGTGTTTGACCAGCATAACTGGGCTGCCTCTGTGAAATAAATACGGTGGGACTATTTTTCACACACAGCTTGAGCATTTTTTTTTATTTTATGAGATTTTAATCCTGTAAGACGTGCTGCGTCCTTTCAGAGACATTTTAGAGATCCTGAACATGAAGGTCTGCTGCATGTTAAAACTGCCTAAACATACTAGCAGCAACATTAACTGGAAGATTGTTGAATATGAAGGTAAAAATGCCAAATATCAGTGTTATAAATATAAAAAATGTCTTAAATAAAGCCTTGTGTCAACTAATGTTGGAATAAACCTTTATGTTGAGAACTTTTTGGTCTGTGGCTCATTTCTTTCTTAATTTTATTTACAGTTGGTAAACAATCCGACTTAAAAATACTCTAATTAGCAAAATGGAATTAAAATAAATAGAAAAATATAAAATTTTTATTTAATAAAAAAAAAAAATCACTGAAGGTCACCCCATATAGCACATATGGAAAATGGGAGAACTACTTTGGCCACTGGATTGGGATAAAATATTCTAATTGATCTAGAAATGGAAAAATGTTAAAACTATGGAATATGACAGAGTCAGATGATAGCCGTTTCTGTTTGTCTGACCCTGTAATGTTTTGGTTTTGTCATATTGTGTCTCTAGTTTGGGTGAAAAGTGAAAAAATGTCTTTAAGGATTGATCTGTCAATGAAGCTTGATGTGGTTTCTGTTTTACTAGGAGAGTTTATAGACACTCACTTAGTTAATTTAATCATTGTACTCAAAGGTTTATCTTTAAAGCCAAAAATAGATTTTCACTTAACATTAATTTCTTTAAAACATTTATTTAGCATTTTTTTTACTTTAGAAAATTATAAGGTTTCAACCATATAACAATAATAAAGCCAGAAAACAGAAACAGATGGAAAGTTCTCAAATGTTATTCTGAAAATCGAACTTGTGGATGAACGAATTCATTCAATGTGGGTAAATGAATTTCAATGTGTCGGAGAGAGGCTTTTGGGTTGGTACATTAACTGTTTAAATGTGTTCTGTGCGTTGATTTATGTTGATTTAATAATAAAACATTTTAAAAAGTAAGCCAACTTGCACACAGGGGGCCCGGGTTCGAATCCCCGCTGGGGGGAATAAGCTACCAGCGTGGGTCCTTGGGCAAGACCCTTGACGCTAATGCCTGCTTCGTAAGTCACTTTAGATAAAAGCATCTGATAAATACAGAAAAATACAGAAACAGTTATTACTCAGATGGAACCAAGAGCTTCTAAATGAATGTTCATAGATCTCAGTATCTTTATGGAGTTTCTGTGTTTTGCTTTGCTGCCAAAACTTCATCAGATACACAAACTTCTTCATTAGTTGGAGGGGGCTGCTGGTTGATGGATCCTCGTACAGCTCCTGTGCGCAGCGCCCCGTCCAGCGCCTCCTTCAGGGTGAGGACACCACCTTCAGAGTCCCTCAGCACACCCTGTTCCACAGACTCCCCAGGATGGTGCCTCTGGAGATGTTTTACCACCTGGAACCTCTGCTTGGCTCTGTAGGAGCAGTGGCGGCAGGAGAAAGGTCTCTGCTCCGTGTGGGACAGGAAGTGATGTCGGAGCCCCGCCGGCCACCGGAAGGATTTCTGGCACAATCCACACGAGTACGACCGATCTTCCGCGTGCTTCTTCTGGTGGGTCTTCAGGATGAAGCTTGTTTTGAAGGCTTTGCCACACTTCTCGCAGACGTAAGGACGGACGTCACAGTGCTGGGTGTCCCGGTGTGAGCGCAAAGCATCTGATCTGTTGGTCCGATACTCGCACTTGTCACAGGCATACGGTTTCTCCCCTGAAGAATTTAAACAAGGAGTTACACCAAATATTTTATTTAATATTAATAATAACCATCTAGTACACCAAAACATTACATTTAAAACAAACAATATATTTAAAGATTAAGATAGCAACCTGAGAAAATAAAGAAGGATGGGCTAATCTAAAGAGATTAGGGAGGTCTAAAAAGATTAAAGAGGTTCTCAGATCAGTTTTTAACAGTTAGTCAAAGGTGATGTTTTATACAATAAAAAAAAAAGATTTAAAATGATGGATCTGGTGTCTCAGAACAAAAGAATTGCAGTGGAATGAGGAGTGAGTAAGAGACGGAGATTATTAATATGACTGATGTCAGGAAGGGGAAAGCAGAGAGTTTTAAATGAGAGGAGAAGACAAACAGATTTGAAAAGTGTGTTTATAGTACCATCAATAATAAACTCTGTCTTGTCACTGTTAAGGTGTACAAATAAATTATAAAAATAATGCTTGAGCTCAGAGAAACAATCAGGTTGGAGGGTGAGAGTATAGATTGGTTTGGTAGTGATGTAAAAATGAGTGTCATCACCCAAACCCATAGAATCCCTTTTAAAGAAAGCAATAAAAATATAGGATAAAAAATAATTTAGTTTCTACCACTGTATTTTTTTAGATGAATGTAAATTTGTTAATAGCTCCTGAATTTCTGTCACTTATTAAGGAAGCCTGCTAACATTAGACCGCCGTGCTATCACCACTCCCGTCTCTTCCACCAAAATTCCAACAATCTAGGTCTCTTGTTAAACTTTTTATCTATTGAATAAGAGACCAGGAAACAATGAGTGAACCATGGGAAACTGCTCATGTGGCTAACGCTTAATCCACAAAAATATGCACGGGTCAAATTCTTGTGCATTCTCGATAAAACGTGAATCTAAAGAAAATTTCGGAGGGATCTGTATATGAAAAACATCAGGTTTTGACTCCTTTAAACCAATTTAAAAGTCTTTAATGGAAGACTGTCATTTAATATTTCTCTTAACAGAGGAGAATATAGAAAAAAAAGAACTTATTTTTAAGAATTTAGTGGAACAAATTTAAACTGGGAAGCCAGGACTTTTGATTTTTCAGGAGCTCATGATGGGTGGATATGAGGACACTCTACTTACAGAGTTCAGTTACATACTTTGTTGTACAGAGAAAAAGGCCCAAAAGTTAAACCTATCCAGATGCTTGGAGACATGTGGGAGGACCATCACAGAGCGAGGACATGGGTTATTAAAGACTATTCAGGTTTCTAGATGTTTGTTTGAAGAACTGGTAGATTAAACATAAGAATCCAGCCTGGTTTCAGAAATCAGTTCCTATAGCAGGCTTTGTGATGGTAGGAGGTTGTATCATGGTATGGGGAAGAATCATTTGATCTTTACTGATAGCATGGTTAATGCAGAAAAGTCCAGCAGACATATTAAAGCAGGATCTGCTGATTTTAAAACCACGTCTTTTCGTGGGACGCCCATGTATTTTCAGCTAGACAATAGAAAATGATCTTTCTACAGCCTTTTTTACAAGAGTAGTGAACTCTATAAAAAAAAGACCTATATTAAAACTCAGAGACAGAAATGTCCTTGTGTGGTGAATACAAAGAATCCTAAAACCTCAGGCTATTTTGTTTTTGTTACATTTGCGAAGGCTTAAATTGGAGGGATGGATACCATACCTGAAAAAAAAATCTACTTTCTCCCAAGAAAAATACAGTTTCTCCTCTAGTTGATTTATGGGACGATCCTATTTATGTTCAAAATCAAGCCTATTTAAATTCAAATTTGGGCTTCTGTGTGGAGTTCATACCTGTGTGCTTTGTCATGTGATACTTCAGCTGGGTCGCCCACTTGCATTTGTATCCACACTCTGGACAAAGGTACATCTTCTCGTCTTGATGAACTCTCATATGCAGCTTTGGTAGAAATGAGTGAAATTAGTGTTTTTATTTTAGATACAACAAAGCAGATATATTCAACTTAAACCCAAGGTTAACTTCATATTAACTGAATATAAAGTTCAGCCAGATTTTAGAAAATAATAAACTTCAGGTCTTAGATAACACAGAAATATCCAGTAGTAACAAGCTGTGGCATTGTGTATGATGATTTTATTTCCTAATGCTGTTGTGTTAAACCCAACCTGAGGTCTTAAAGGTATAGTGAGGGATGTTGTTTTTCCAGGTGGATCATCAAAATAAGTGGTCCTCCCAATTGTCAATCATTCAGGTGATATGTTTACGTAAGGCCGTCCTTAGTGCTTGCCCCCATTTTCACTTACCGGTGGTGAGTCTGACATAGTGGAAAAATTCGGAAATCTTCTTTTGGAAAGTAAGTTTGTATGAGTAATCCAAACAGCAAGTTTTAAACAGAGCGTGGAGGAGGAGAAATGGGCTTATGCATGCTTTTGCACGCATTTAACAGGCGTTACCTCTAGGGTGCGGGTACTGGGTTGTGTATATGCAAGTGGCCTTTTCCAAAATTTGCCTCCACTATACCTTTAACGTCTACACTACACTGTACTTATATCACTGCAGAGTGCAGTAAATAGACCTCAGAACAGGTCTAGGTAATAAGGTAAATCTTTAAAACCACAGCCGGAACATCCAAACAAAACAAATAACATTTTTGCCCTGAACAAAACACACATTTTTTTTCATCTTAAAACTCAAGTGAAAGGAAGTTCTCCTAAAAAACGTGAAAAAAACGCAATTAAATAATTCAATTTGAGGCAATTATCAGGTTATGCATTTACCCTTTACTGACTCATGTTGGTCAAGTGAAATTGCTGAAATTAAACTGGAATACCCTCAAAAGTTTGAATTCTGAATCAGAAAGGCTATTCAAGATGGATGCTGTTCGCATTAAAAGTATAAAAAATTCTACTTTGAACGGTAGCTTTAGGATATACAAGGAGATACTTTTTAAAGTTACAAAAATAAGGTAATAATTTTACGAAAATAAGATCATAATGTTTTTACAGGACTAAAGTCGTACCATGAAGACATCAAAGTCATGATATGAGGAGAAAAATACATAATGTTACAAAAAAGCGCCGTCTTCCCCTGCGACTGTGATG